TGCAGTTCAGGCAGGACTTGAGCTCACTTAGTAGCCCAGGCTGGCCTTAAATATGCAAAGATACTCCTACCTCAGCCTCCTGAGTGCTGGGATTACAGGTGTGCGCCACCATGCCTGGCTCACTATAGGAAATTTTAATTTAACAATTTTACTAATTTACTCTCTAACATACCAATGTACCATACTGAAAAACAAACGAAAACAAGCCATTCAAACTGATCTCATTGAGGGAAAGTTTTGAAATATTTATAAAAGCTTAAACAGCAAAAAATGTTGCCTAAACAGATCTATGAAAGTAATTGTTTTAAAATATTGGGCTAGGGCCAGGGACATAGCTCAGTGGCACAGAACCTGCCTGCCGAATGCAGGGTCCTGAGTTCAATTCCTGATAAAAAAAATGGGCTGATATATGAGCTAATAGGTGGTCTATTTTGGAGAACAGTCCATGTGTAGCTGAGAAGAATGTGTATTGTGATATTGTGGAGCAGAACACTCTGTAGACATGTACTAAGTCCATTTGCTCAAAAGTTTGGTTCAGATATAATATTTCATTTGCTGATTTTTTTTGTCTAGTTGATCTGTCTATTTGTGACAGTGGGATATTGAGGTCCCCTATTACAACTGTATTAGGGCTTATTTGCTTTTTCATGTCCGTTAATATTTGTTTTAAATAGTTGGTTACATTGGTATTTGTTGCATATATATTTATGATTGTTATCTCTTCCTCTTGGATTGTTCCCTTTAGGAGGATGTAGTGACCTTCTTTATCTCTCTTAAGCAGTCTTGGCTTGAAATTCCCTTTTCTGCAAATAGGAAAACCCTGATTTTTTCTGGGTTCCCTTTGTGTGGAGTATTGTTTTTCATTGTTTGACTTTCAGTCTGTGAATTTACTTTTGAATTAAATGTGTTTCTTGTATGCAGCACATTGTTGGATCTTGCTTCTTGATCGTTTCTGCCAGTCTGTACCTTTTGATTGGTGAATTGAGACCATTAACATTGATGGTTATAACTGGTATGTATTGACTTATCTTTGTCATATTATTTTTCTGCTGTTGGCTCCCTTTTTTCTTCCTCTGTCTTATTATGTGTCTTGTCTGGTGGATTCCTTCTGTTGGGGTTCATGGAGTTGTAGTCCTCATTATTTCTTTCTGTAATGTCCTTCAGAACATTTTGTAGTGCTGCTTTGGTGGTCATGAATTTCTTCAGGTGTTATTTAACAGGGAAGTATCTTATTTCTCCATTAATTTTGAAAGATAGTTGGTGGGATACATCCCTTTGGGTTGGAGGTTGCTTTCTTTTAGGGATTGAAATACTTCACTCTAAACTATCCTTGGCTGGAGGGCTTGTGTTGGGAATGTAGAGGTGAGGGTGGGGGAGGAGGGGAGGCTGAATTCTAAACTCATAAGAACAGAGACTATCATGTATTCATTTAAAAAATTTTTTTTTAGCATAATAAAAGATGGTTTATTTGGAAAAAAGATGGAGAGAAAGAGCATAGATTGCTAGTGTGAGGTGGGAGGGAGCATCAGGACTGAAAGCCCCTTATGTTTCATTTCTACTATGTCTTAATCTATTTCTAGATTTTTGAGAGTTAACTATACTTTGTTTTAATTATTATTTTGTTGCCTTCAGTCACTTCCTTCCACTTTCATTACTCGGCTTAATAGAGATTAGAATCTACATAACAATTTCCTTGAATTATCCTTAGAAAAAGCCAGTGGGCTTAGTAGAGCCACTCCCAGAATGATTATATCACAGCCAACTTGATGGCAATGGGCATAATCAGAAATGGGGCTGGGTTAGGAAGGACGGCAGCTGCCAAGACTTGTGTAAAAGTAGCATGAGCTTTCCCTTCTAAATGTACAAGCACTGCCAGCCTTCTTGGGGGAAAATCCAGATGAAAGGGGCAGAACACAACAGGACAAGAGCTGAGCTGCCATGTCCAAGGAGTGGACAGTTGTATATAGCCAGGAGCATGGGTCAATTCATGACGGGTAGTAGGATTGCAAGGTGAGGTCAGCAGTCAGCTCAGAGGAGAGTTGGGCCATCAGTTAGTCAGCAGAGAGCTTCTTAAATGCTTCCTGTAAACACTATTTCCTCCTTCTACCAACTTGGTGCTAAAGAGAGGCTTCTAAGATGTCCTGCATGAGAACCATCTAGGTCCCATGAGAAAAGGGGCAGGTTTCCTTCCAGAGTGCATAGGGTTTCCCATTGTCTAGCTTTTGTCAGGGATAATTCTCTTTATTGACCTCTCCTCATCCCCATTGTGGGCCTTATTTTCTTGTTTCTTTGGGTGCCTCATGGTTTCTTACTGAAAACTGGATTTTTAATGATGTAATATAACACAGCAACTCTGGAGGTCAGGTTGTTCCTTTCCCTAGGGTTTGCTGTTGCTGCTGTTGCTTATTTGCTTAGTGACTTTTCAGAACTAATTCTATAAATGAATGGCCACTGAAGTGTGCTTAGTGGTCAGTTGATGATTGAACAGAGACTGTCTTGATGCTTGAAATTAATGTCTCTCTTCTTTCCGGAGGAGCTCTGTGTATATGTTGGGGCATGCAGGAAGTTTACAGCTCCATCTTAGCCCTCTTACTTGTGCAGACTCTCAAGATAAGCCAGAGGTGAAAGCCTTCTTTCCTTAGGTCTTTCCTACACATGTGCAAGCAGGGCATGTGCACAAGTGTGTGTGTGTGTGTGTGTGTGTATGTGTGTATGTGTGTGTGTGCATGTGAGTGTGTGTGACTTTCCAGAGTTCCAGGAATATATTGGAGCCTTTCAAACCCTCTTACAGGAATCTTATTCCCCAGTTTTTCCTTTAATGTCTTTTGGGTAATATATTATTTGGCCCAACTGTTTTTGGGTTGTCTATTATTTGACCCAACTACTGTCCACTGCCCTGCACAGCCATAAAATTCAACAATTGTCTCTAATTGTTTTTAACAAATGCCTTTTGATAAAAAAGCTAATCAAGCTGAGCAAGCAGCAAGTCAAATCTAATAAAGATAGTCTTACCAATGGGATGTACCAAGGAAGCAGCAGGCAGGTCAAATTGTGACAGCTTTCTGGGGATGAGGTTTTGGAGGAACAGAAGGCTGTTCTATTCCTTCATGTGGCTTCCGGGCTGCTAGTTTCCATTGTGATTAGGGGATGATGCTACTGTAGAGTTGGAGGGAGGGGGATGGTATTACAGCAAGTTTAAATGCACAAACCTCCCTGTTCTTAGTGAGATTATATATATTTTGTGTGTGTGTTTTACTGGGGATTGAACCCAGGGACTCAGGCATGCTCTACCTCTGAGCTACATCTACAGCCCTTTTTATACAGAGTCTCCATAAGTTGAGCAGGCTGGCCTTGAACTTGTGTTCCTCTTTCCTCAGCCTCCCAGGTAGCTGGGACCACAGATGTGTGCCACTACACCCAGAATGTTACCTTTTTTGGATGGGTGCTTTCAAGACTGCTATAAACCTTTGGTTAATTTCCAGAAACTTGAAAGAGTTGATTCTGACAATTTCTTTGATAGTTTTTTCACTGTTTTTATGGAGGAGAGAATTATCAGAGGTCTTTTCCTCTGCCATTTTCACTGGTATCATCTGAAGTATATTTAAAATGCCCCTTTCTGTGATTTGCCTTCTCATTTCTCAAAACTCAGATCAAATGTGTCCTCCATTGTGATGCCTTTTCTGTGTCCTCTGGGCAAAGGAGTCAGCTCTTCCTCTACTTTCCTATAACTCTGTGTTCAGACCTCTGTAGTTTCACTTTGCACACGCAACAGTTATTCATATCAGTTCCTGCTTTTCCTTTCAGCTTGCAAGCTCCAAGCTTGAGGCTTATTCATCCTCCATGCCCACAACACACAATAGGCCTTCAAATTTCTAGGCTGAATATATTGCCCTAGGTGACCCCAGAACCTAGCCAGGGAATTATCACCTCTAGTCACCACTTCTCTCCTCCTATATCTATAATTCTTAGCTGACCCCTGTTCCTTTATTGTATTGCATGTGGACTCCATTGTATTGTATGTGAAGATAAAGCCTATGTGGGTGAGATTCAACAGCAACAGTTGATACTAGAGAGCAGGTTAGTAGCTCTATATTCAATATCACATTTAATTCTAACACCAACCCTGCGGGGTGGGTACTATGTCCTCATTTCACAGGTACGGCTGATTGAAGGAAGAGGGAAAACGAGTTACACCAAAGGTTGACTCTAAAGCTCGCATACTTTTTATTGTTTTCTTTTGCCTTTTAATACAGGGTCTTGCTGCATAGCTCAGGCTGGCCTTGAACTCAAGATCCTTCTGCCTCAGCCTCGTAAGTGCTGGGATTACTGGCATGCGCCACCGTGCCTGACTTAAAACCTGCATTCTCAGCTGTCCCATCTGAGGGATTCATGAGGGCACACTGGAGGAGAGGAAGCCGCAGCAGCTTTTCCCTCCCCTGGGATTATCCTGCTTCCTTGTCTAAAGAAGTGTGGTTCCCAGGTGCATTCAGCTCAGTCTGGGCTCAGCTGTGTCACTTAGGAGTTTGAAACAACACAACACCATGGGCTCCTGGAGCAACTGGCTCCCAGGGCAAGCCTGGCAGAGAGGCCCCACCTTCTAGCATTGGGGGGACAGGCACAGCCTTGGAGCGGGAGGTGACAACAGTCCTTCCTCATCACCCAACAACTCCAGCATGGTGATAGCCCCAGACTGCTGGAAAAGCCAACCAGTGCAGGCAAGATGTAATCCACGGGGCTCAGAGATATTTCTACAAATGCTAGTATCTGTCTCTCCAATACAGCCCTGTCAGCAGGAAGGGGGAATTGCGCTGGCATGCACGGGGCACACTTTTTGGGCGCAAGGGACCTGGTTGCTAAGCTACGGTAGTTGGCCTCCCCTCCTCCCTATAACCTTTTTCTCTGTGTCTGAGCTTCCAGTTAGCAGCAGGAGGGGCCAGGGCTGTCCAGCCCAGCCCAGCCCTTGGCCCTTTTCCCTGCAACAAGGGGCCTATTCATGGGTCCTGAGCAGAGTTTATTGTCTTTCTGGCTTGTGTCTGTGTGTGAGTGTGTGTAGGGGGGAACATGGGAGGGGCCGGGTGTGGGCCAGGGAGACGTCCACCGCCAAGCAGGCTGGCTGGGCCACTTAATCGATGCTGACAGAAGGAAAGAGCAGGACCCTGCCTAGCAGACCCTGAAGCCGTACCTCTGTGCCAGCAACCCACATGGTAAGGCTGTGCCTCTGTGCCGTTCCTGCTCCAGCCTCCCTCTCTCTCTCACTCTCTCTGCCCCTTGCTGTGGGTTCTCGGCTGGTGCAAGGAGTCTCCTCAGGCAAGACTGGACCCTAGCACTGTGTCCTGTGTGGCTCACCTCCTGCCTTCTCCCCAGACTGCCCCTTGTTTTCCTCTCTCTTTCCCTATAGGCCTGAAAAAGTACTTTGCACACAGGTGGTACTTAGCAAATCTTATTACATTAGAATCCCTGCTCCGAAAGAGGACGGAGCGGTCCTGTATCTATACCACTCCAGGTGATACTTTCAGGTTGCCACATGAGCTTAGGCAGGGAAGGCCAGGAGATGGGCTTAAAGCCCAGGCTCCCTGGATATCAGGACAGGAGAAAAGGCTGGGCATCGCTGGAAGGCTTTCTAAACCAGGCCTTGCCCCTCTGCTTTGAGGAACATCAGCTCACCAGAAACCATATTCCTAGAAAGAAAAACCAAACCGCACATACACCTTGTCGCCACTTTTCTACTTTTTCAATTAGCTCTTCCCGGCCTTCTGCCCTTAGCTTCATTGCCTGCGCCCTCCCTCTGAGTGCACAGAAGGAACGCCCGCGGTAGGATGAAAACTTTGACGGGTTTCCCCTGGAGTAGCAAGGCCGGCTTCTGGTGGGAGGGCCAGTCTCCCAGGTGTGGGCTGTGATTGGTGCTGGAGCTGGTGGGCGGGGCTGCTAGCTCACCCGTGGGAAGGTAGTGGGCTGCGGCCGGGTGGTGAGCTCAACTAGTACAGGCGGTCCTGGGTCCAGTGAATCTATTTTCAGGAGATTTGGAGGTGGATGTCCTGCACAAGTCTCATAAAGGCTTCCATGTGGCAGTCAGAGGGTCAGGAAAGCTGCTCAATGGAGCACAAAGGCAGGACTGGGGAGGGTCTGTGTGAGAAAAGGACGTTCTATGTGACACATGTCCACCCTAAGCCAACATTGTTTTGGAGTTAGAGTTCCAGGCTTTTATGATCACCGGGCAATCCACGTACCGACAGAGGACGGTGATGTGCAGGTTATCCACCCTTTTGGATTATAAATTCCTTGAAGAATCTGATGTTTACATACATTTCTTGTTAACATTATTATAGTTAACACCTGCATTGTGCTTTGTGGTTTATAAAGCCTTTCCTCTCTCCCACTTTCCCTATTCCCTTCTTCCCTTTTATACACTTTACTGGAATTGCCCCTGTGTGCCAGGCCCTGAGCCAAGGCCTGGGATGTACAGCCTGGTGAGGAGGTGAAGGAGTTGTGGCAAGCTCCCTGGAAAAGCAACCTCCATCTGAGTTGTGAAGGGTCAGCAGCAGTCACCTACTCAGGGAAAGGGACAGCTAGCGCAGTTTCTGTGGGGTGAGAGTGCCTAAGGGTGCTGAGGAGTAGCATGTATGTGTCAGCATGCTCCTGAGCTGGACTGTGGAGGGAGTTGGCATGGGCAGCAAGGAAGGAGGGTGAGGTCGCAGAGACCTGGTGAGCTTCCCCATGGACAACTGATTGGTCTTGAGACTGGGTACTTTAAAGATGGGGTCCCCATACTCATATATGCAGTGTAGAAAAATGTCTCTGGCTTTGTAGCTGGGAAGGAGGAGGGGAGACAAGGTATGAGAGGAGGAGATTACTCATTAGGAAGTAGGAGTTAGCATTTTTATTTTGTAAATGAGAAAAAGTTTGAAGATTTGGTCTGAGTTGTCCAAGTGTACATAGTAGGGTGTAGACCTAGGTTTGAACTGTCCAGTGTTTATCCAAGATCTTATGTAGATTACTCTTCTTTTTGACTCAAGAGCTTCAGACATACATATATGGCTTGTTCTGCTCTATGCCTTCTTTCCCCATGTCTTTGCCTAGATCTCTCAGTGTGTGTAATATACAAATGTTAGTTCAAGCTCTATTCATCCATGAAGGCCTGTCTCAGAGGCTGCCTTTCCTAGGAAGGCTTCCTTGAGCTCATCAATGAGAAGTAAACTTTTATTCTTTTGAATGCCCATGACAGTTTTGAACTTTTTTTCTGGAGCTTAACATACTCCAGTTTGTTAATATTACTCTTACTTTTTGGAAAAGCCTGCATGTTCTTTGAAGTGGTCCATGCTGATTTACCTGAAATTCCTATCATGTCCCCCATAGTGGTCTGTGCAATGGGGCTAAAGATTGGCTGAATGAATAAGTGGGTGCCGGGGGAGGGGTGCGTCTTTCTCTGAGATAGGAGGAAATGAAAGAGGGTTTTGACATTGAGGCACCTCAGCCAATGTCTTTGAAGCAAAATGAGGGAGTAGTAAATGAAAAAAGTGGGTTCGTGCAGAAGGTGGGTTTCAGAGTGGGCCCAGGCTGGACTCAAGTCTTCCTTCTTATGCTGAGAGCCATGTGGGAGTAAGATGGGTGGAGCTAGGAGCTGGAAAACAGAGAGCCTGGAGGGGCATCTGGGGGAACACACAGGGAAGCCCAAAGCTGACTAAAGGTTGGCAGGTGACAGCAGGGCGTGACGGAGGTCAGAGTGGGATGTGGGGCGTCCTGAACTTCTCTTGGCAGTCCTTGATGTGGGAACCCTGGGTAGCTGACAACTGTTTTCCCAGAGCCTGAAGCTGGATGACCAAGCCTCTATGGAGGCTCAGTATGCAGAGGAAGGCCCAGGACCCAGGATCTCCAGAGCAGAGCCAGGAGACCGGCTGCAACCTGGTAGGCCAGGCATGGCCAGAGGGGAGGGGTAGGGTGGGGGCAGGGAAGGGCCATCTTCCTGTATCCACTATATTCCCATTGGGTTGGTGCCATATGATTAATGGTGAACAGGTGCTTACTCTGCCCTCACTTTTGCTGCCTCCTTGCGTTGGGGACGGAATGGGCTCTGTGGGCTTCAGGGCGCAGGGCACTGCCTCACTCCTTCCTGCTGCGGCGGGAGGGGAGGGCTCCGGTCTGTACTCAGTGGGTGTGTCACGGTGAGGTAAGGCTGGCGGGCAGGAGCAGGGAGTCCAGGCACCCTCTGCCTCCTCCACAGTGTCCCAGGCAGGGAGCTGGTGCTCCTTCCGACGCGGCTGTGCAGTGCTGGGCGCCCTGGGGATGCTGGCTGGCGTGGGAGTTGGCTCTTGGCTTCTAGGTCAGTGCTGCGGGCCCTTCTGTGGCCTGGGGGTGGGGACAAAGGACAGGATCTGGGGGATGCTGGGAGAGAGAAGCAGGTGCTGAGCAAGTGTCGTAGGTAGATGGGCTGTCTACCTTCATCTGCTCTGGGCAGACAAGGGAAGAAGAGGTAAAATCACTGCTGCTCTTCAGTGGGTTGGCTGGAGCTGCCTTAAGGCGAGGTGGTCGACGAGGGTCCCAGGCTCGGTCTTGTCACAGTAGTGCTGTGTGTCTTGTGCTACTCCTTGACCCCCCTCTCGCTCCAGCCTCTTTGCTGAGACCCTTCTTTGTCTTTCTATGAAGTCCTGTATCTGTGGCCAGCAGCGTCTCAGCCCACCTCCGGGACGCCGCAGGATGAGGAGATGACTTTGAGCTGCTCGGAAGCTAGCAGCGAGGATGCCCTGCTTCCCTCACTTCCCAAAACAGGTGGGTTGCGCTCCTGAGCCCAGAAGACTGCTCTTCTCCTCCCAGTCCAGCGTAGCCCCGGGACAGCTCTCAGATATCCGCTTCTGGCTGGGACAAGGGGACCAAAGTGAGGGCCAACAGCTCACTGCCATCCGCCTGTCTCTCCCTCTCCTGGTGTGAAAGTGGTGACAAAGTTTAGCCTTGCAAAAACTGCTTTTAGATTTAGGGCTTTGGGACCCTCCCAAAGGGTGTCCCAATCACTAGTGGGGGTATAGCCAGGAGTCTAGGCTGGCAGGAGGGATGGAAACTTGGGGGCAGAGTGAGGCTGCAGTATAGGGGAGGAGGAGCTAGGTGTGTGCTTTGTGACCAGTAGTGTCAACTAAGCATCTGGGGACGGCATCCCACATCATTCCCCCCTCCCCCATTGTCCTCTCCCTTTTAGGTGAGACTTGGGGATCAGGAGGCACCATGCTGCCCTAAGGCTGGGGCTCAGAAGAAGGTATAGAAATTAGAATTTGGAATCTTCCTGTTGCTAGCTGTGTGACCTTGGGTATGTTATTTCCTTGAGCTTCCATTTTTGTCTCCATAAAATGGAAATACAAATGTTTACTGAATAAAGTTATAAGGATAAAAGATGCTAATATCTAACAAGAGCTTAGTTCAGACCTTATATATTAATCTGTTCAGGCTGTCATAACAAAGGCCCACAGATTTTTTTTTTTTTTTGTCATTGTGGAGGATGGAAGTCTGAATACAAGGTGCTACCCCTGCAGTTTCTAGAGAGGGCTCTTTCCCTAGTAGATAGATGTCTGCCTTCTTGCTGGGTCCTCCTGGACCATTCTTTGCTGGGACACACATGTGTTGAGAGAGAGAGAGAAAGAGAGACACAGAGAGAGAGAGACAGAGACAGAGACAGAGAGACAGAGATAGAGACAGACAGAGAGACAGAGACACAGATACAGAGAGAAAAGCAGAGAGAGACAGAGAGACAGAGACAGAGAGACAGAGACAGAGAGACAGAAAACAGAGAGAGACAGAGAGAGCACTCTACTGTCCCTGTCTCTTTTTATGAGGAAGCCAGACCTACTGGATAAGGGTCCCACCCTGATGACCTCATTTAATCTTATTTATCTTCTTTTCTTTCTTTCTTTCTTTTTTTTTTCTTTTGGTAGCAGGAATTGGACTCAGGACCTTGTGCTTGCCAGGCAGGCACTGTGCTGCTGAGCTATCTCCCCGGCCCAATCTTCTTTATCTTCAAAGTTCTGTCTTCAAATACAGTCACATTGGGGCTTGGGACTTCAGCAGAAATTCTTCTGGCGGGGGGACATAATTCCTGGAAAAAGTAGACAATAAAAGATAATTATTATTGTGACAGATTTGAAATCAGAAGACCTGGATTTGAAACCCGGAACCCACACCTTGCCAATTCTGTGATTTTGGGCAAGCTGCGTCGCTGTGCCTCCGTGCCCCTCTGCAGACGGCAGAGGACACTCACTGTCGGCGCACGGGGCTGTGTGAGGAGGGACAGGGCACCTGTCTCAGCACGTGTTACAACAAAACTGAAAGTCTCCGCGGACGGGGTTTATATTGCGTTTAGGACGGTCAGACACTCAGGGGTAGGGAACCTGACTGAGGCCACTCAGGTGCTACCACAGAGGCCTCTCTGGGTCCTCCGGACCCCAGGTCTAGCTCCTCCTGTCCCTGCAGCAGGTGGATGTGGTTTTCATGCCGTGGTTCAGTGTCTTTCAGAATCAACAGGGAGGACTTCTTGCTGGAAGTTCAGGTGAAGGCCCGGCCAGACTGGCTGCTGGTCTGCTATGAGGGCTGGAGCCCTGCCCTGGGGGTGCAGATCTGCCGGAGCCTTGGGCATCTCAGGTAACTGGAGTCAGACTGGGGGTCTGGGGAAGGGGAGGCTGGCCGGGGGGCAAGGGAACTGGAGCTGGAGACTATCTGCCTGTCACTGTGAAGTGCTCAGCCGGAGCCAGGAGGGCGTGGTGGTGTCCCAGCCTGGCCCTCTCCTTTGAACACGGCTGCTTCGCCACAAACCTGCATGTCAGAAGTCATTGTCGGTCTCGCTGTCTTGCTCCTGCGCATCGTAGTTGTGATTCACCAGCACTGCTCATGCTGCAATTTAAGGCAACCTTCTGTGCTGTCCCCTTCCTCTACCCAGACTTGCTCATCACAAAGCAGTGAACCTGTCTGACCTCAGCCTCAGCAGCTCCCAGGCATTTTCTCAGCTCTTGCCCAGCCTGGGAGGCCTCCTGGGAGAACAGTGGCAGCCCAGGTAGGGCTTCCGAGCAGGGTAGGTGAGTTGGGGCCCTTACTTCTGGGAAGCAGAGCAGAAAAATCCACTTTCAAGGGAAACTTGTGGTGAGGACATCGGGAGAAGGAGGAGGAGGACAGAGAGGAACAATTTCCAGTCACAAGTGACACACCGGGTTTGCATGGGCCCTGCTGGTCACAGCTGTTCTATGGTATTGCCCCTCCAAAGAAAGACAGGGTTGGTTGGTATTGTCTGATGACTTGGAATGGTGCTCTTATCCCCTTTTACAGATAGGAAAACTGAGGCCAAATGAGGTTAAACAATCTTATCAAAGCTTACATAACCAATAGCAGCTAAGCCAAATCTTAAAAACCAAGCCCCTATTTCCAAGCCAAGTGATCTCACCATCTGCTCCTTTTTGGGGAGGGGTGGGCATGACACTGAGACCTGCACCCCATGTCCTCACAATGAGCTACAACCCTAGTCCCCCTTTTTATTTGGAGATAGGGACTTCCTAAGTCACTACATTGCTCAGTCTGAGTTTGAACTTGTGATGTCTCTGGAAAGAAATGGTTGAATTGTTCTGGCTAAGAACAAATTGGATCGTTGAGACTGTCCGAGAGAAGAGGGCTTGGGAAGCGGCAGGCCCTTTCCCAGACCCTCAGGGTAGACTGGGGTGAGTGGAGTCCACGCGAAGAGACCTTGTTCTTTGCCTGATTTCCTCAGTCTGCCCAGGGGTCTCCTGGGCTGGGGCACTGTCGTGACTCTGAAGCCCTCTTGCGCTGGACCCACTTTTCCCTCGGAGTTGTTCTCTCAGACCCCACTACCCCGCTCCCAACTGAGAGCTCATCCCCAGAAACCTACCGGAGGCAGGGAGGCCCACTATGTCCCTGTCTCAGGGTTCTGAGTGGGCAGCGGACGTAGGGCTGGGACTGCCTCCTCCAGCACAGGAGGGGAGAGCACCCAGACATTGAGCTCCTGGAAGGAAGAGTAAGTCAAGAAAGCCATGAGTAGTTGGTCTAAAGGAAACTGAGACTTCTATAAGGAGAGAGAAGGGAAAAACTCATATTTTGACAAAAATATGAATGTGCACCTCCCAGAAGGCCAGGCTCGGGGCACAGAGCAATGGGTGTGGAAGGGAGGAGGGGCAAAGAGCTGTGTACACTCATCGGTAGCCCAGTCCCCAGGAAACACGGATTTACTGATGCAGGGCCGCCTAGTGGAAACCGCTGGGCTTTCTCATCTGTAACTATTGCATTTTGCCCTTGGCTGTGTGTTGCGTCAGCGTGACCCGCCCTGTTGCTGGCATCTCTGTTTTGCAGGGACAGCTGCGCTTCTGGCAGGATTGTTTCCCTCAAATGCTCTGGTGAGTCAACTCTTGCCCGCAGGAAGGTGGTGGTGGGAGGAGTCTCCCGGCTGCCTCAAGGGTGGAACAGCCCTGTGGAGAGGCTTGGCTGGGCCTGGGTTGGGGGTCCTTGCCTGCCTGGCCGCGTGCCTGCTGGGCTCCTTCTTGCGGAGACAGCCCGCTCACACAGAGCCCATCTGGCCTTGTCCCCGGCAGCCACTGTGCTGGCTGATGGATGAGCTCTTTACCTCGTGACTGCACCCTGCCTTTGCTTCTGATACTCATTGCCCCGTTTTTTCTGGAGCGCCCCAGAGATAGAGTTATTACTGGCTACTGTTGGCAACTGCAAGGGTGGGTGGTGAATTAGGGGCCAAACAGGGAGCAGTTTGTGGGGTTTCTTTCACCGGTCTCTCCGCCCGTCCACCCTCCTGTTTGTGGGTCCTTCCACACATTCCTGCACACGCTGACGCTCTGACCCCTACTGTGGGTGCATTAAGGCTCCACAGATCCCACAGTCATGGTCCCTGCTCTCCGCAAGCCCGCAGCCTGTAATACCCAGCACTCCTATCTTCCTATCTGCCTACTCAGGGCCAGAATGATAACCAAGGGCTGCACACTGGCTCCCTAGCATTTGACCCTGTGTTGCGCTCTTCTGTGTTGGCAGAGTGTGGGGCACGGCCCCTGGCTTCTCGGATAGTTGGCGGGCAGGCTGTGGCTCCTGGACGCTGGCCGTGGCAGGCCAGTGTGACCCTGGGCTCCCGGCACACGTGTGGGGGCTCGGTGCTGGCACCCCACTGGGTGGTGACTGCGGCACACTGCATGCACAGGCAAGTCTCGGGGGCTGCCGGGGAGGTGAGGGCCTCAGCTGCCTTTTCTGTTTGGCTATTGGCATGTCCTGTACAAAACGTCCAACTGTCTGTCTCCAGCTGTCTGTTCCAAGTGGGCAAGGGTGATGTTCTACCTGCTCAGTGCCAAGTTTGGTTCTGCAGGAACAGCAGTCATGATGCAAAGATCGCTTCTTTACATTCATTCCGCTTTCACGTTTTAAAAAAGCTTCCGCATTCACAGCACTCCGTGCTTTCTTAATGTTTATCACCATTATAATTACGCCGTTTCCACGTAATTACTTGTTGGATGTCTTTCTCCCCCTTTAGATTGGAAGTGCCAGAGGAGCGCTGACGCCAGGTCTCACTCGCCACTGAATACTCTGTGGATTTCTCCACAGCTGTGTCCGCAGGGCCTAGAACAGTGCCTGGAATATGACAGATGCTTAATAAATGTTAGTTGGAGGAATGGACCAATGAATGAGCTCTTTGATAATACCCATCTGACAGTGAGGAAACTGAGGCTGGGGAGGGAAGTGCCTCCCTCAGGTTCACACAGAAAAAGTGGGAAGAAAGGACAGAGGGAAGTTTTTTTTGACTCAGGTTAGAGCTTCACAGAGACCCTTTACTGTTTGCTGTAGAACTTGGAGGGGGATTATGTTGGAAAGGGGGAATGACAGTTGCAGGTAGCCCATAGGGTCTTGTTTCTCTGTCTGTCTGTCCTTGATTACCCCCTGCATGTCCAGTGTCTTGCCAGTTGCTGGGGTGATACTAACAGGCACGGTCCTGGGGTCTCAGGAGCTCACAGGCTGCTGATAGAGGCCCTCACTAGTGAGGGTCATGGCCAGCTTCCTCCCCCCACCGCCTCACTTACGTCACCCTCTGCTGCCCCTGCCTTCCCTGGGCTCAGCGTGTTCCCATGTACAGTTTCAGGCTGTCTCGCCTTTCCAGCTGGCGGGTTCACGCAGGGCTGGTCAGCCACAGTGCCATCCGGCCTCACCAGGGAGCCATGCTGGAGAAAATAATCCTCCACCCCTTCTACAGCGCCCAGAGTCACGACTACGACATTGCCCTCCTGAGGCTCCAGACGCCACTCAACTTCTCAGGTGACGCCCTGGCTCTGGGGCGAGCGGGCTGGGGGCTGTGGTGACGGATGGAGGAGCAGAGAGTGGGCAGGAGAGATGAGCTGACACCTGAGATTTCCTCCCAGTGCTGTAAAGCTTGAAACATTCCATTCATTTGGGGGACATAACAACTCTGCATTCTCCTGAGCCAGAAGCTGCATGAACTCTTGTGTAGGCTCTTTTGGAGACAAAGATCCGCGTCCTTTGCACAGTGGGGCTTTGGGCAGGATGCAGAGATTCTTGGCTGCCTCATCTACCAAGAGGCTTTATCACCCTGTTCCCAGGCTGGCCCCGGGTTTCAGTCATTTTGTGACCTGCTGCAGTTAAAGAGATTTATTTTTTCCAAACATTCTTTCCCTCAATCCTCGTAACAACCCTGGTGAAGCAGGTACATCAACAAGGACGCTCCCCTCAAGGTCCCCTGGCAAACAGTTTCTGAGCCTGATGTCCTAGTAGAGGCCCAGGGCTCCTGCCATAGCACCTGCCCTAGAAGGGGGAGTCCACCATGATGGTGGCCCAGCAAGCACCCTCCCATCATGCATTGCACATGGGCACTCTGCTGAAGACACACACGTGCATCTACACTCACACAGTCATTTGTACACAGACACACTCATGTATTCAAATCCCTGCTCTCATAAACACATACACTGTTAGACATAGACATGCTCATACCACACACGTGCCCATTTACACACTCACGCACATACTTACACACTCACACACACAACACTCCCAGCCCACAGAGGTTTCCCAAACAACAGCCTTTGCTATATGTATTTCACAAATCTTAATCACATGTGTGAACCATTGTTCATGGTTACTATTTCTAAATTGGTTTAAATAACTATGTATAAAAGAGGAAAACACCCAACTGAAGAGCTTCCGGTGCTGTAGTGTAGAGGGTAGCCGCAAAACTCCACAGTGTGACAACAAGGGAGCTTGTTGGCTACTATTAAGTAGCTGGCGTCCTCAGCAGAGGTCGCTGAGCCTGGGCCCGCTGTCCTCTGTCCACATGGGAGATGGACAGCGTGAAGAGAGTTGCAGACCAGCACCAAATGGCATTTTTCTCCCTGATGGAGTTAGAGAGCCTGAAAGAGAATTGAAAAGGAAGGCGCTCTGGTCCCAAGTGAACCTGTGTTCGTGTAACGGCATGTCTATGGACTACCTGAAATCATGCTTGGCCCTCACCAAAGGATATGCCACATATTTTAGAAATACTGTCCCAGAAAGGATCAGACTCCTGGGGAAAAGCCAAAAATGGGTCCCCGTTAGCAATTGAATTCCTAGGGCCCAAAGGAAGTTCCATTGTTCTCAGTCCCCCGGTGCAAGCTGGGCAGTAAGTGTACTGCCCGGCTCTAGAGGGCGCCATGCACACTGTGGGGGGCACACTGTCCTCTCTGACCAGCCGTCCCCAAGGTGAGATGGTGCCTGACCTGTGCAGCAGCCTAGACAGCCCGGCTGGTGGAGGCCAGGCACCCGAACTGCTGAGAAGGGGGACTGGAGGATCTTCACCTAGCTCTGCGGGAGGGAAGTGGAACCTGAGCGGGGACTAGAACACAGGCCTCTCTGCAGACACCGTCGGTGCTGTGTGCCTGCCTGCAGAGGAGCAGCGTTTTCCCAGGGGCTCCCAGTGCTGGGTGTCTGGCTGGGGCCACACGGACCCCAGCTACAGTGAGTCAGATTCTGGGGCCCTCAGTGCCAAAGGGGCGGGGGAGACACCCTTCTGCAAAGGAAGCACCTCCATTCCCCGAGTCAAGTGGCAGTGCCAGCCCTGGGGTCTTTCTGGGGAGATCAGCTTTGAAGATTTTCCTTAAAGCCAGGCCTTCGTGTGCCTGCTCCCCGGGTCCCAGGAGTGCCCTACCTGAAGCCTTTGGTGGGTCCTCCCCCTTCCCACCGCTCCCAGCCCCATTTGCTCCCTTGCTCAGGTCTAGCTCCTGTCTGGGTTCCTGTCTTCAGGTCTCTGTCTCTGGAACCTCTGATCCCTCCCATCTTGTTGATCTGTCTTCCTGGCCTTGCTGGGTGCCCTACATCCTTTTTTGGTGTCTCCCACAGGCCACAGCTCAGACATGCTGCAGGACACAGTGGTACTCCTGCTGAGCACTCAGCTCTGCAACAGCTCCTGCGTGTACAGTGGGGCCCTCACCTCCCGCATGCTGTGTGCGGGCTACCTGGACGGGAGGGCTGATGCATGCCAGGTATGGCCTGTGGTGGAGGAGGGGGTGGGGCCTGTTGCAGCTTAGTCCCTTGGTCTGTGCTTGTGGTAGCCTCAGACAGCCCTTGTAGGAGGAGAGCTCCTGCTAAGGGCTTATGGGGGGTGAGCAGCAGTTATCCCAGTGGGGAGCAGGAGGGGGCCCCAAGAAAGTCCTTTACCCATGGAGATCAGGTACTGCTGCATTGGGAAGATCTGACCGGCTGTTTTTCTGTCTCCGTGCCTGGATCCCTCAGGGGGACAGTGGGGGACCCTTGGTATGCCCAGATCAGGGCATGTGGCACCTGGTGGGCGTGGTCAGCTGGGGTCGTGGCTGCGCAGAGCCCAACCACCCAGGTGTCTACACCAACGTAGCTGAGTTCCTGGACTGGATCCATGACACTGTACAGGTGAGTTTGGGCTAGGTGTGAGGTCAGGGAGTTTCAAAAGGACATGTCCCTTGGATACTGGGAACCTTGTCCCTTTAGCCTGGGTCCTGCCGAGGGCTGGAGAGGAGACTAGGGGATGTTTTCCAGAACAGGAGGAGGCAGAAGTGATGCTCATAACATTTAACTTTTTTCAATGTAAGCATTATATAAGAATGACCTGAGTTTGTAACTTAGATCTGCCATTTCCTGAGTGAATTTTGGCAAATTTCTAGCCTTGGTGAACCTGTTTCCTGGTCATAACATCTCAGCTACCTTAAGTCTGCTCTGATGATTTGAGCTTTGCATCTAATTACATTCTTATGTGACACTAGGCTTCATGTGTTCAGTGGGAGGGCCGAGTGTGGTAATGCGCATCAAAGCACAGTTTTTGTGTTAAGTACTTTATAAAAGCAGGCCACGGTCATGAACAGCCTCTTTCTCCATGGTTGGGTATGGGAGCAGGTGGTAGAGAATACACTTTAGGGATCACAGGGCATGATGTGTCCCTTTTCTCATTCGTGTCTTATGAAAACCTACAGCAGCCAATATTTTTAGTCCCCTTTATTAGAAGAGAAAGGTTAAGTGATTGACTACAACAGAAGTCTCTTGGCTTGCACGAGGTAGTGCCATGTTGTGAACTGATCCTCTTTCTCTTTTGATCCAGGACTCCCTCCTCTTAAGTCCTGTGGTTTCCTCCCATCTCAGTGCACATCAGTGCAGTCTCATATCTCCTGGGCTCTCTGGCAGGTCCACTAGCTGGAGAAAACACAGCAGCCCTGCGGATGAAGAAGGTGTGGACTGCCTACTCCTGCTCGCATGACTGGCACCGCCCACAGGCCAGCAGCCACTGGGCCTCTCCTCTCAGGCTCTGACTTCTAGTTCCTCTGGGTTGGGAATGGTTGCGGAGCCGGGAGAGAGACAGAAGAGGCTGCAGAGAGCAGCCAGGAGCCCGCCTTTCTGCCCTCTCCCCTCCCCAGCCCCTTGTGCATCTTCTGGGAGGGTGCTCAGCGTCCTCCTAGCACTGCCTTCTCCCTGTGTCCTCAGGTGGGGTAAGTGCCTACCCCGAGGATATTCTAGCTCAGGGCCCTGGGTATAGGAGGTCAATGCTGGACAACCCAGATTCAGCCATGGAAGTCAGAATCCTCCCATCTCCCTGCATGGTCTCACCTACTTCCTGTTCTTGAAAAGCCCTGCACAGGATACTGTAAAACAAGCAGGTTGAAATTGGAATAGAGTGTCGGTTTTAAAAGGACTGTTCTGTGAACTGGTCCAAAGCATTCTATTATTAAATTGAAGTGATACGTGGTCTTGGTCCAACTTTTTTTCTTCCATTTTCTCTCACATGCAAACTATAGGATTGAAATACATTTTTCCTCATATCCATGTTTCTTGACATTTTGATGCTGAGTCTTTTTATCTACCCCAGAATTTTGGCAGGTGCTTGTCTCGTTTCCTAAATTTGTTAAATCTACATGTCATAATCTGCTGTGAAAAACTCTAACCATCCTGGGACTCTGAGGTTTGCAGTGTGACAGTGCTCTCTTAGGGAGGGCTGTCTTCCCCGAAAGGCCTACTTCTTCTTATCTCTTGTTTTGGAATAGTGCTGTTGGTTTGGGGCGATCTCTCTGTGAGTTTATGCCAGCGGAGCATTTTCTTGGTGAAGCCTCTCCCCTACTCTTTCCTCTTCAGCAATTAAAATGCAATTGGCATCTTGTTTCTGCAATGAATTTTTTATGGCTCTTACCCAAGAAAATGCAATTAGCGTTTAGCAGTAACAAAACTGTGTGAGTTTATCAGCATTTTTTTTTTTTTTTGAGGAGTTGTACAAATGATTATTCATTCCTGGAGGGTCTTCTCCCTTTGCATGAGGTACACTCAAATACGAGGACTTCTGTGTGTGGTTGGCTTTGTTACCTAGGGAAGAGGGTTCTCAGAGTCAGCTGTCAAATTATAGTGGCAGTGAGGGAGAGGTTCTGGTGGGTGGGACATACCTCCAGCTTCAAGCCTGTGACCAGCACTTACTGCCCAGCTCTTACAGGTCATTTGCAGAAGGTAGTGACAGGACAGCAGAGCCTACTGGGCAAGGAAGAGTTAACAGTAAACCTATCAACTGTGGCCTTTTTTGGTTTCTGATATCAAAAATAAGCACTTACTTATTAAAGGGAAGTGCTATTACTATTGTCTTGCCATCCTGACCTTTCAATTTGAATAGTACTGTGGCGGTTATAAAACCTGCTCGTGTACAGGGTCTCCCAACATTTCTGGGATGAAGATATTATTATTACTATCATTATGATTGGCCCCCTTTTTATAGGCAAGAAGAAAGTTCGTTTGGAGAGATAAATTGACTCATCCAAGACCACTGAGCGAAGAATCCCCAGAGCTACGAGCTGGGGGTCTTTCTGCTCCCAAATCCAAGTAACTGTCTCACACATGGATGAGTGAGATGGTCCAATACTGCACAGAAGTGTAGAACTAAAGGTATTTGTTTAGATCCTCTGGCCTGCTTACAGTAATGCATTACCCTGATTAAACTGCCAATTTGTCTACATTGGGCTCAAACCTGTGATCCTCCTGCCCCAGCCTCCCGCGTGCTAGCACTGCAGGCATGCACCACCGCGCAGCTTCTTTCCCTTATTTAAGAATCAGCGAGGAGACCTGAAGGAGCAGGAGGCTGTGGACTGCAGGCTAGGGTCAGTGCATAACTCAAAGGGACTTTTCCCTCAAGCTCTTCAGACAGTGATTCTGACAAGTGGTTGAAGAGAGCAAGCTGCTCTAGAACAACCTCAAAAGAAGCAAAAGACGGGTATTTCATGCATGGCGTTTGTAAGAAGGAGGTAACTCGTTACTCACATAACCTCTCTGACTGCCCCTGCGGTGTAGTGTGCAAGTATTTCCAGTGAGGGGACGTCTTGTACGGAGATGGCTGCAGATACAAAACAAACACAGCGAGTCACTGAAACAGGAAGGAGCAGCTGCTACGCACTGAACTGCAAAACCATCCCTTACGGGGGGACTCAAGTCTCCTCAGCTGCGGAGCACTCCGGGAGACGAACACTGGCGAACCGGAGGGTAGACACGCGAACGGCAGCCTGACTACGCCTGCACCGGCCCTGCCCGCACAGAAGCCCCGCGCAGGGCTCGGAGGCCAAAGCAGAGTCTGAGAAAGAGCCGCCCGCGGTGGAGACCAACAGGCAGCTCTGCCCTGAGGCCACCGTGGGACTGTGCTGCTGTGCAGGGAACGTGCGCCTGCGTCCCACGGATATGGCCCAGAGGTCTCAGCACATAAACTCTTGCATGGAGGCCCAGGAGAAGGACATGGAGCTGTCCTTTGGCGTGCAGCGAAGTAAGGACCTGGCGTGTGGCGTCTGCACGGAGGTGATCTAGGAGAGAAGCAACTCCAGCCAGTGCTACTTCGCATCCCCCCTGTAGTGGATTGACAACTGGCGTCAGCTTATAACCCCCAGCTGAACTGAGTAAGCTGGTGCTGGGTGTGGAAGGCCCCCGTGGGGACTGTTGCCAGCAGCCTAAGAGGCAGAACTGGAGAAGAAGTGAGGCTGTTGGGAGCTGAGAAAGGCTGTTGGAGCTGGTGGAAGCTGTAAGGAGCTGTTGGTTCTGTTGGAGGAGCTCGTCATGCTGGCTTTCCTGATGAACTTGGCTGTTTTCATCCTCCGAGGAGCTCGGGACCTCATTGGCACTGAGAATAGCTTCGGTTCACTTTGGGGGAGCTCTGGTCCTCACTTTGAGCATCATTTCCTGGCTCCAGAGGGGAAGATGGTGCACTGCTCGGTCTCCTGGAGAAGCTTGCTGCGTTGGCTTTCCTGATGGGAACTCAGCCGTGTTCACCATTGGAGGAGCTCAGGACCTCACTGTTGCTGAGGATGGCTGTGGTACTTTTCTGGGGTGCTCTGGTTCTTACTTTGCGCATTGCTTCTTGGCTCCACTGTAGATCCCTCAGGCTGTTAGCACAGATCCTTCATTCTGCTGGCACAGACTTTCTAGATTCTACCACTGTCCTTTGGGCCTTCCTAGCTCAGATCCATGAAAAAGGCCTGCGTGAGACATTATGGGCTCTAGGCCTCCAACTGGACTCACGGGAGGCACTGTTATGGGCTCTAGGTCTTCAGCTGTACTCATGCAAGACATTGTTGTGGGATCCAGGCCCTCAACTGGATTCTTGGTCTATAATGTATGGACAAATTTCCTGTACTCTCTTGCGTATGATTCTTTGGGTGACTATTATGAACAATCTTATAGAATATGTGTCCTATATTATATTGTTCCCCGGCAAGAAATCCCAAACCATAACCCCCTCCAACTGCAACCACATGGACTGTCTCAAGTGTATTTGCGAGTGGAGGAATGCTAAGGGAGCAAGGTCACAGAGTCCTGTGCTGATGCCCCATCACAGTGAACTTTGTCATTCCAAGGGAGTACTGGGAAGGGGAAAAAGAAGAGAAGCAGAGACTCATTCAGACAGACAAGGAGGCGATGAGCAACAAGGTGGCTGGTATTTTGATGAAGGTGGTGGGGCTGGCCATTTGGAGAGAACTGTTTTCACAAGCGTGCTACCCTGATGGCCTTAGCGAGGGGCCACAGAGCCAGAAGTGAGAACATGAAGCAGATACTGAGCCCCGTGGAGGAACCACTCCTGGGAGCTCAGTGAGCAAACAGAGAACAGCAGCCCTTCGGACAGTGACCAAGAGGAGGTTGTTACCTTTGACCTGGGTGAGATGTTGCGTATGCTTTTGGCTGCAGGTGGGGACCACAAGCTGACTGAGGACGAGTGGGACTTGTTTCATGACGAGCTGGAAGACTTTTGTGCCTTGGACCTTTAGCAGCTTTGCGTGGCTGGGGAATGACCTGCCGAGTTACAGACAGTTGCTGTCCCCTGTACTGTGTGGCAGTGTGCTGTTCTCCTATGCAGGGCCGTCCACTCCAGGTGCTGGGACCATTTAGTAGGGCCAGCTCATGGGGTGGACCAAGCTGGGAACCAAACTGGATGAAGAAAAGTCTCTCCACTAATGTGTCTCTCTCAGAACATGACAGAGACTCCAGCAAGGCAGGGCTGTCCAGGGCTGGGCTTATTTTCTGAACCTTCTCCCTTCTAGAAAACCTTTGGCTATGGCATCTGCTACTAGGAAACACAGATCCTGCAGTGAATTCACATTTGGGTCTCTGGCCACATGAGAATAGAAGTCTCTGCTCCTCTTCTCAGGAGGTCTCTGGCCTCCTGAGCTAGTGACTCAGCCTCCCTAGATTCTGGTCTCTTACCTATCACATTAGGAGTCTAAGTGACGTGGTCTTTGTGAAATTGGCTCTGTCAGATTAACTTCACCTAGCCTCTTTTGCCTCTTGAGGTGTCTGCCCGCAGCTTCCAGCAGGATACCCTTTGAGATGAGCCTATTCCAGGACAGATCTAAATGGCTTGCTTATGGCTTCACAGCATCCCAAGCCTGCTCTCCCTGGAAATTTGCCTGCCAGATCTCTGGGGGGCAAACTGGGAAGAATAGGCAGCAGGCAAAAGATATTTGAGACATCTTTTCCCTTCTTCTTCTGCCCAGCTTTTGTATGCTATACAAAGGTTCAAGGCCCTTGATCTGCCTGGCAGTTTACTTAGGTGCTCCCTAGCTTACTTCTTGTGTGGGGCTTTTGGGCCTTAGTTCTCGAAGGTATTGCCCCCCCCCCCCATCACAAAGACCACAAACGTTATCCTCTTCCATTTCTCCCAATAGCTCTCAGATTGGCCATGAGGACCACCTCTACCCTGCAGCTTCCCCCATGCCTGAGGTAGAATAGTGAAGAAAGGTTTGAGCCAGAAAAGCCACCAGCAGATTGCTGGGGCACAGGTCCCTCTCTGGACCTCGCTATGTGCCAGGCTTAGGTAAGGATGATTTTTTTACAGAGTGACCCATCCTCCCAGTTTTCCCAGGGCCATCCTGATTTTAGGACCAAAAGATGCATATCCTAGAAGTCATTCCTGGGCAGAGAAAGTGGTTCATGCTAAGCCTATTGCCTTTCTTCTGTATAAAAGGAGTTCTACAAAATCCAGTGCCTCTCCCACCCTCCTTCAGTCTTATGAAGCACCATAGTTATTCCTCCCTAACCCAGAGGTGTTAGGAGGAAGCTCCCAGGAGGCCCTGAGGCCTGGACTGTTTTGCAAAGGCAGTACCATCAGTGGATGCTGCCTTGGCTCCGAGCCCTTCACAGAGAGGCCCTTCTTCAACAGAGCCTGCAGCCAGCCTGGCTGCATCTTTTTTGTAGCCAGAAGCCAGGGCACCCCTATTTCATCTCACCTGA